GCTGGGCCTCAGGTCTCCGGTCTGCAAAATGGACATAAAAATGGTCTATACCTCAGGATAGTGGTGCAGATGGAATGGAATCGTGCATGTGAGGTGCTGGCGCACCACAATTCCTGAATAAACAGTGTACCCGCGGTTGTGGAGGGCGTTCCTTTCTTCTCTGCTGTATTTCCCAAGTGTCCTACAATTACAATTTTTTCAACACTAAAACTAATAAGCATCAGCATTTAAACTTTCCAAGGGTCATGCTCTGTTCCCTGGGATCTCGAGCCTATTCCTGGGAACGTGGCTGAAGGCTTTCTCCAGCCAGGCTCAGCTCTGCCCAGGGGACAGAGAGCAGGACTGGGTGCTGGTGCCCTGGGGGACCTGGGAGCTTTGTTTACAGAGGACACTGTCCCAGGGCCGGACACTCCTCACCCCAGAAGCTGCTGTCTGGACTGAGCCCCCCAAGAGAGGCTGCCTCTACCCACGCTGTCCCCCTCCCCTAACCCCGGGTCCATCTCAGTCCCACGACCGCTTTTGGCACAGTCCTCTTTCCTCAGGGGCAGGCTCTGCTCCTAAATACAGAAGCTGCACTTGACTTGGAGCACGTCTAACACCCAGGAGTAGGTGGCCGAGTGTCTCTGGGGATATGAAAACAGTTTCGAAATAAATAATGATGGAGGCACTGGCTGTGTGGCTCCGAGGGTTAAACTGCCTCCTGGGACACCAGCATCCCATATGGGCACCGGTTCAAGCCCCGCTGCTCCACTTCCTATCCAGCTCCTGGCTAACATGCCTGGGAACACAGCAGAAGATGAACCAAGTGCTTGGATCCCATGCCCACATGGGAGACCTGGATGAAGCTCCTGGTTCCTTGTTTGGCTTGGCCCAGCCTTAGCCATTGCAGCCATTTGGGGAGTGAACCAGTGGATGTAAGACCTCTCTCTCTCTGTAACTCTGCCTTTCAAATAAATAAAATAATTTTTTTTTACAAATGTTAAGTGTACACTCTGATGCATTTTCCTTTTTTTAAAAAAAATAGATTTAATTACCCATTTGAAAGGCAGAGTTGCAGAGAGAGAGAGAGAGAGACAGAGAGGTCTTCCATCCACTGGTTCACTCCCCATATGGCCTCACTAGCCATAGCTGGGCCAGTCTGAGGCCAGGATCCAAGAGCTTCTTCCCAGTCTCCCATGTGGGTGCAGGGGACCAAGAACTTGGCCATCTTCTGCTGTTTTCCCAGGCACATTAGCAGAGAGCTGGATCAGAAGTGGAGCAGCTGGGAGTTGAACTGGTGCCCATATGGGATACAGACACTGCAGGCATCTACTTAATCTGCTACGCCACAGCACCGGCCCCCAGATAAATCTTTTTTAAAAAAGAAACAGAAGATGATGCCTGCCGTGCCTGCATCCCATACGGGTGGCAATTCAAGTCTCCCATGCATCTGCGTGGGAGAAGCTCCTGGCTTCCGATTGGCCCAGCTCTGGACATTGTGGCCATTTCAGGAGTGAACCAGAAGATGGGAGATCTCTCTCTCTCTGCCTCTGCCTCTCCCTCTCTGTAACTCCACCTTTTGAATAAAATAAATAAATCTTACAAAAAAAAAAAAAGAAGAAGAAGAAGAAGAAGAAGAAGAAGAAGAAGAAGAAGGCGGCGGCGGCAGTCATGGAGGTCAAATACCATCAAATGTGTGAAACTCTCATAAAACACTGAATAATTCGGCCGGCGCCGTGGCTCACTAGGCTAATCCTCCGCCTGCGGCGCTGGCACACCGGGTTCTAGTCCCGGTCGGGGCGCCAGATTCTGTCCCGGTTGCTCCTCTTCCAGGCCAGCTCTCTGCTGTGGCCCGGGAGTGCAGTGGAGGAGGCCCAAGTGCTTGGGCCCTGCACCCCATGGGAGACCAGGAGAGGCACCTGGCTCCTGGCTTCGGATCAGCGAGGTGCACTGGCCACGGCGGCCATTGGAGGGTGAACCAACGGCAAAAGGAAAACCCTTCTCTCTGTCTCTCTCTCACTGTCCACTCTGCCTGTCAAAAAAAAAAAAAAAACTGAATAATTAATTTATATTATTCCATTCCTTTCTTCCCCTGTTTCCCTCCCTAACAAGAAAGAAGAAAACAACTCATAACAAAATACCAGACTACCCATTTGTTTTTGTTTTTTCCCAGAGGATGCTTAAAATTCCACTATTAAGGCTGGGTTCCTGTTCAGTGGAAAGCTCCAGAAATGAGGAAGAGCAGAGGGCAAACCAGGAACCGCTGAGTCTCAGCCTCCCACCATGAGTGAGATGCTGTGTGTGGGGCCTTGGCTGCCAGAGAGTGGCGGCTCGGCTCGGAGTGAGAGCCAGGCACAGGGACTGGGGAAGGCGGGGCGCCCACGAGAGCCCAGCGGCCAGCTTTCCTGGGGTGCAGGAGCTTTTCCTTGTCCCTGTCTGCCCCCTGCCTCGCTTCATACCTTAGGTTGCCTTTCCCACGTTTCTCCTGGGAGATTTATTGCTTTCCCATTTTTCATCCAAAGCAGCGGAAATGAATCATCTTTCAGGCCTGCTGTAAACAGCCCCAAGCCCCCTGACCCCCGCAGGCTCCCTCCCTGGTTCCCTCTGCAGCCCGCCCCCTCCACCCACCACCAACACCACCACAGTCAAGACCCCCAGGCCTGGTTATTCTTGGGAAAGTCCCTCCCTGCTCCTCTGGGCCTGGTGGCTCCGCCTCCTGCACCGTGGAGATGGAAAGTGAGACACAGCCTTCCAAGCTGAACAGAGGGACCCAGCATTCTGAGGGCTTCATGTGCCATCTCAGTGACCCTCATTTTACAGATGGGGAATCGAGCTCCAGAGAGGTGAAGGAACTTGACCAAGGAAAAACAGCCAGGAAGTGACAGAGCCAAGCCTGACTTCACCCCACGCTACCATGCTGTATGTGTGTAAATGTGTGTGTAATGTGTACATGTGTATGTGTGTAAATGTGTACATGTGTGTACATGTGTATGTGTGTAAATGTGTACATGTGTATGTGTGTAAATGGGGTATGGATGGGTCAGCGACAGTATCAGCTGCAGTCCCTCAAGATGAAAACCTCTGTGAAATGCATGAAATTTGTTCCTTTAATATGCATTTTTTAAAGATTTATTTTATTTATTTGAAAGACAGAGTTACAGAGAGAGGTAGAGACAAAGAGAGGTCTCCCATCCACTGGTTCACTCCCTAGATGGCCACAATGGCCAGAGCTGCGCTGATACAAAGCCAGGAGCCAGGAGCTTCTTCTGGGTCTCCCATGTGGGTGCAGGGGCCCAAGGACTCGGGCCATCTTCCACTGCTTTCCCAGGCCATAGCAGAGAGCTGGATTGGAAGAGGAGCAGCCAGGACTCGAACCGGCACCCATATAGGATGCCGGCACTCAGTCCAGGGCATTAACCCGCAGTGCCACAGTGCTGGCTCCACGCATTTGTAAAAGTAAAAAAAAAAAAATGGAAACTGAACATATGAGGGCCAGTGTTGTGGCACAGAGGGTTAAGGCGCTGCCTGGGATGCTTGCTTCCCTCCTCAGAGCACCAGTTCCAGTCCCGCCTGCTTCACTTCCAGTCCAGCTCCCTGCTAATGCGCCTGGAAAGCAGTGGAGGCTGGCCCAGGGACGTGGGCCCAGGCCACCCATGTGGGAGACCCAGATGGAGTTCCAGATCCTGACTCTGCCCTGGCCCAGTCCAGACCATCCCAACCATTCCAGGAGTGAACCAGCAGATGGAAGATCTCTGTCTCTCCCTAACTCAGCCTTTCAAAGAAAGAAAAAAAATATATATGTATATATATATTTTTTAAAGAAACCTGAGGTCTGTGCTTTCCATTCCTATGCATATGAGAGACTGCAGAGGCAGCCATCAGCGCTGCAGTCAGAGGTGGCACCCCAGAGTTGAGGGCAGAGGAAAGGGAACCCCAAAGTGCCTGACTTCAGAACTGCGCAGGCCCTGTGCACACCTCCTGGTGACACACCTGTCAGAGGTCCAGGAGCACAGCCATGCTTCCCGGGGACACAGCCAGGCAGCTGTTCACCAACCTAGTGACTACGCACGGTCCGTCCCTAGGAGCCCCAACTACTGACACCAGACGTTGGGGTGAACATGTGTGCGCTTGGGGACAGGGAGAGGAATTAACATTAGCTTCCCCAGAACTGTGATGCACGGCGCAGAGAAAGTTCTCAGCCAAAAGGGACGGACTGAGAGGCTGGAGGACCGAGGGGCAGCAGGGAGGTCTCCTGGGGAGGCGGCGTTGTACACGCACAGCTTTGCCTCTAAGCAGAATGCTATACTGGAAGTGAGATTCTGTCCACTTCTCCAAGCAGCTCGAGAGGCAAGACACATCCCCATGTTCCTCTTTTCTTTTTTCTTTAAGATTTATTTACTTATTTGAAAGGCAGAGTTACAGAAATGAGAGAGAGAGAGAGAGAGAGATGAGAGAGAGAGAGAGAGAGAGAGAGAGAGAGAGAATGAGAATCTTCCATCGCTGGTTCACTCCCCAGATGGCCTCAATGGCCGGAGCTGATCCTATTCAGATCCAGGAGCTTTTTCTGGGTCTCCCACGCGGGTGCAAGGGCCATCTTCTACTGCCTTCCCAGGCACATTAGCAGGGAGCGGGAAAGGAAGTGGAGCAGCCTGGACGCGAACTGGGGGCCACGTGGGAAGCTGGTGCTTTAGGAGGCGGCACTGCAGTCTGCGGCTTTACCCACTACTCCACAGCGCCGCCCCCTCCCCATTCCTTTTACAGAGTGGGGAAAACTGAGGCCCGGAGGGGTTGGGTAGGTTGGTTGTCCTCAGTCTCGCATCCAGCAAGTGGCCCACCAGGACTGGACCGGAGGAACGGACCCCAGCCAGGTCCCGCGTGCGGGTCCCTCCCAGCGGGTCCGCCGAGCCAGGGGGCGGGGCCGACGCCGTGGGGAGCCGGGCGGCCGGGGGCGGGGCGGAGGCGGGGCGGCGGCGGTGGGAGCGGCGCCGCGAGTTGGGTGCGTCTCCACCTGCCGTACGGAGCGCGCGGGCCGGGGGACGGCCGGGCTGCGCCCCGCTGACCGCCGGGCGGGTCATGGCGACCGCGAGCGCAACAAGAAGCGGCTGCTGGAGCTGCTGCGGGCGGCCGGCACCGGCAACGCGCACTGTGCGGACTGCGGGGCGGCAGGTAAGCACCCCTCCGCCCCGGCCCAGCCAGCTCGCGCACCCGCGCCGGCTGGACAGGGTCGCGACCCTCACGCCGCCCTTCAGACTGACCGGCGGTGAACATCCCCGGGCCCCGACGGTCCTCCCGGCGTCCGACACGCCGCCCAGCCGGACTCGGGCCCCTGACGCCCCACTCCCGGCCGGCCTCGGATCTGTCCCCGGCCTGGTACCGCCGACCCCCTCCTTACCGCCCGGGACCGGCACCTGGCACCAGCCACTTCCCGCGCCCTCAGGCGCAGACGTCCCACACGCCGCGGGACCCCAGGCCGTCCTGTGCCCCCTGCCCCGGCCCGGACACCCCCAGCTCCCCAATTCACGCGCCCGACCCCGGCACCCCGACCCAGACCTGCCCGCCCTCAGTCCCCAGCGGCGCGCGGTTCTCCGGACTGTCACTTAGCACTCCCCTCAGCCTCTAACCCTCAAACCCTGCACCCCTTCCAGGGTCTTCCCCCACAGGCCTAGGCTGCCTCGAGGTTCCCCGCTGGTAACCGAATCGACCCTAGGCGGAGCGATGAAGAGAGAAGGGGTTCCTAGTTGGCCCCGCCCCCGGAGTCCTAACTGTCCCCTGGCCCAGCCCCCGCTCCCCAGCCCTGCGCACGCTCAGCTGCCCTCTTGCCCTGTAGATCCCGACTGGGCCTCTTACAACCTGGGGATCTTCATCTGTCTCTACTGCTCCGGCGTCCACCGCAACTTCCCGGACATCAGCAGAGTTAAATCCGTGAGACTTGACTTCTGGGACGACAGCATCGTGGAGGTAGAAAGGCGCACGTGGAGCGCCCTGAGCCCTGGAGCTGGGGGAGAGGCCGTGGGCGGCAGGGCTCTACACGGCGGGGGTGGGGGGTGGGGCGGTGGGGGGGGGGGGGAGCTGAGCACGGGACGAGGGCAATAGCCAGAGGAAGAAGTAGCCTGTTAGGTGGCCAGCTTAGCCAGAGGCTCTGAGTTAAATCCTAACTCCAGGGATCGCTTACTTACAAGCTGGGAGGCCCAGGGCTGGCTACTTCATCCTGGTGGTAGACTCTATTCCCACATCTGTATTATGGGATCACCACCACTCTTTTGCAGGGCTGTTCTAAGATTAAGTGTAGACTCAAAGTAAGTTGTTAGTAGTTGCTGTTATCATTAGTGGAAGTCCTGGACTTGGCCAAAGGAAGCCTCCTGGTTGGTGGTCTCCAGCCAAGAAGAGGATCCCTGGTATCTCCTGAGCCCTGGGGAGGGAAGACTCGCCACCCCCACACCACCCCAGCCTGGCTGGTGGTCCTGTCTCAGGCAGAAACCTTTCCAGGAGCAGGCAGCCCTGAGCTGCTGGTTGGCTGGGGGGTTTCAAGGACTTTGTGAGAAGCAGGCTGACAGTTGTCAGGTTCCATGCTAGACACCAGGGGGCTGGAGCACTGCCTGGCTTGCTCAGCACGCAGCTCCTGCCAGCCTACCCTGTGCTGGGAACTGGGAGAGCACAGTGGGCATGACAAGGTCCCTGCCTCTCCCGAGCCCACACCACACTGCAGTGCAGGAGCCAGGAAAGCAGCACAGTGGCACAGAGCTGGAGGGCTTCTGCTCCTGCCTTGCCACGCCCCTGTCATAGTCTCCTCCCTTTTACAGGTGCGATCCCAGGGCTCACTCAGCAAGTACATGACAGAGCCCTGTAGCATCGGGGTAGGGGTGAGGAGGAGAGCAGAGTTCCTTGGTCCAGGGATGTGGAGCCAAACCTGGCCTTTCTTCCCACTCTGCTGTCCCACTGCCGCCTGGGCTACTCTAGGCACATCAGCCACTGCATCTCTGAGGTGCCAGAGGGTCTCACCGATCACGCTGCACCCACATCTTGTGTCCTCTGGCTACATCGGTGTCCTGCAGACTTTCAGGGTGGCTAGGGGTCCTGGCCACATGTGCAGGGAGTGGAAAAAGACTATGAGCTTTGAAGCCAGCTCGGTCTGGGTTCGAATCCCAGCTTTCCACTGACGAGCTGTGTTGCCTTGGGAGACACCTGTCCTCTCTGATTCCTCCTCTGAACTGAAGATGGTACTCTGGAGATGTGTGGGAGGCGAGAACTGGGTGCGTCTCTGAGAGCCGTGAAGGGCCGTGCCTGTAGAAGGACAACTCTTCTGGCGCTTCACTGTTCCAGGCTGGACTCGCTGGTGTGGTCAGTGACCAAAGCCTGGTGGGATGTGTCTTTCCTGGAGGTGGCTTCCTCTGACCCAGCCTGGGAGGCAGACCAGTGACCTTCTGGGAGGCCGTGGTTTCATTTCATGTTTTTTCAAGTTCTAATATTACCCCCGAGTTGCTGCTGTCTTGCAGTTTATGACCCACAACGGAAACCTCCGTGTGAAGGCCAAGTTCGAAGCCAGAGTCCCAGCTTTCTACTACGTCCCCCAGGCCAACGACTGCCTGTGAGTGGGTGACTCCTGAGGCACCGGGGGGAGGGGGCTTCTGGTCTCAAGTCCCTTCCACCAAGCCCCTCTTTCTTCACTGGTCTCTTCTGCAGGCCTGGCCGGCAGGTACACCCAGGAGAGCGTGTGGCCCTGTTAAGGAGCACACGCAGGAGATCTGGCTTAAGCCTCTCTCTGCTGCTTTTGCTTGTGTCTCTTCCCTTCTCTGGGCCTCGGTTTCTACAACTGTGAAACGGGGGTTTTCTCTGTGATCCATCCCTTGGCCTCCAACATCCTTACAGCTTACAGATGGTGGCTTACTTGACGGGGTGGGGGGCGGGGGGATGCTGGTGTTTTAGTAGTGCAAGTGTGTTTCAGGTGCTTCCTGTTGCATGTTAAGTCTAGGTCTGTCCCGTCTAAAGAGGTCCCTCAAGCCTCCCAATGCTGTGCCGGGGCTGCAGGTCCCTAAATAGTAACCATGACAGCAACAGTGGCTGCGAATACCTCTAGAGCTTTACCCGTGCCCCAGGCTCTGCGCTGAGTGTGGCGTGCATTTGTGTGTTTCATCCTCTCATGAGCCGTAAGCACTGCTCTTGTCCTCATGAAATCCACGAAAGACCCGAGCTTACAGGAGCAGAACTGGGTCTAGTTCTTCCAACTCCAGGGCATGAGTGATGGTCTCTCGACAATGGGGGGGTCTCCCAGCATGGGGGGCTGTGACGCCACAGAAGAGTTAAGGGGTCACTGTGACACAGGCGTTTTTGGATCCCGAATCTCTGTGGGACTGAGCGCCTAGTCCTGACCCTTCTTCCAGGGACTCAGCCTCACCACCAGGGCTGCTAGAGAGAAGCCTGTGTCACCAGGGAGAAGGTGCCTCTTCTGGGGGGGGGGGACCCTTTGTTCTGCCAAGGGCCCCGTGGATATTTATAACATCATTTCTGGGCCATACAGAATTATCAACTTAAAAGTTAGCCTGGGCCGGCGCCGCGGCTCACTAGGCTAATCCTCTGCCTTTCGGCGCCGGCACACCAGGTTCTAGTCCCGGTCGGGGTGCCCGATTCTGTCCCGGTTGCCCCTCTTCCAGGCCAGCTCTCTGCTATGGCCAGGGAGTGCAGTGGAGGATGGCCCAAGTGCTTGGGCCCTGCACCCCATGGGAGACCAGGAGAAGTACCTGGGTCCTGCCTTCGGATCAGCGCGGTGCGCCTGCCGCAGCACGCTGGCCGTGGCAGCCATTGAAGGGTGAACCAACGGCAAAGGAAGACCTTTCTCTCTCTCTCTCACTGTCCACTCTGCCTGTCAAAAAAAAAAAAAAAAAAAAAGTTAGCCTGGTGTGGATTTATTGAATTTTGAGTCCTGCCTGTGGTTGCTTTGGTAGAGCCAAACTGAATGATTCCGCAAGCCTTGGACAGCTCACCAGCGGCACATTCCCCATCCCTGCTGGGCCCCTGTGGTCACCTGGGGGCGTGGCCAGGAGCAAACTGCAAGGTGCATTGCAGCTGCCTAGCCCCGGCAGGGTGCTTTTGGGCAGTGTATGGACTGCGCAACTGTACTTGTCCTGCGATCCCTCAGCACTTAGCCAACCAGTGTGGATGGGCAGGGAAGCCCTCACCACTGCCTGGCTGTGAGAGGGCGGACCTCTCTAGTTCTCCACATCCTGGTCTCAGGCGGGCACTGATGCCTGAGTTGTAGTGTGGGGGTAGAGATAAAAAGAGATAATTTATGGAAAACCTCCGCTATGCCACCCAACCCATTTCTCAGCATCCATTTCAGAATGTGGCCTGATTCTCAGCCCAGCCCAGGGATGCGCTGGGCTCACCTGGACGGGGCCCTCCGTCTCGCCTTCCTGCTGCCACTTGGCCCTTTGCCCCAGGTGCTTGCTGAGTGCCCACTGTCTGTGAGGCCTTCTGCCCGCTCTGCACACATAGTACTGGGCACAACTCCAGCAGCAACCCTGCACTTTAACCCTCTGAGCTCAGTGCTGCTGGGCCTTGGTCCCCACTCCTTCCCCCCCGCTCTGACCCTGTGGCCCTGCGGTCAGCCGGGGACTCTCCTCACTGTCTGGGGGTGAGGGCTGTTCATAGGAAGGACTCTCCATTGCAAGGGACACAAACCCGATGGAATAGGGGCTCAGGGGTCAGATCACAGGAGGGTCACCACAGGTGGGGCAGCACTGAGCTAGGGGCGCAGACATGGCCAAGTCTGTCACATTCTCTCTGGCTGTGACCCTGCATCTTCCTCTCAGCCGGGTGTCAGCAAGGTCACCCCAGGAGCCAGCCTCCCCTCCCAGCAAGAGGCGTCCAGCCACTCTCCTTCGGCTTGGGTGCTTTTAGTGCGCATGGCCCAGGGTGCTCCGAGCTCTGAACGATCCTCAGCTCTAGGTCCTTTCTGCGGCCGGGGGGTGAGGTCCTGTGTGCCTTGGAACACTTCCTGGGAAAGGTGAGAGGGAGCAGGCAGTTGCAGTCAGGCCACTGCTGGTGGCTTGGTTCTGTGTGGTAGTCAGGGCTGGCAGTGTCTGCCTGGGAAGGCATTAAACCCTTCCCCTTCTGTTCTGGGAAACCTCTCGGCCACCCTGTAGGGCAGGTGGGTATAATAATATTGGTGTATCCCCCAAGCTCAGAGGGGTTAAGTACCGTGGTCTTTGTCACACAGTGGATAATTGATAGAGTGGGAACAGGTCCCCGAGACCACAGCCCCGCCCAGGCCAGTGTGCCGAGAGACCACGGGCAGGCCACCTGACTTCCGCTCATGGCCCTACAGTGAGAGGGGCAGTGTGGAGATGCAGGGGAGCCAGCGTTCATTGACCCGGGGAGAGTTGAGGCAGGTGATTCTCCCATAGCCCTGTGAGAGAAATAGTCGCCTGCATACCCAAGATGTCTGGCAGTGTCTGAGGACATCTTTGGGAGTCACAGCCCAGGAGGGGTGTGCAGAGGTCAGGGTCGCTGGCTATCTGGAGGGTAGAGGTCAGGGACGCTGCTGGACACTCCACGAAGCGCTGGACAGTCCCCACAAAGAATCTCCCGGCGTCCAATGGTCAGAGCACGGGGGCAGCCTGCGCAGGCAGCGGTGCCCCCACCCTCAGCTGCAGGTCTTGGCAAGTTCCTGCAGGAAGTGACCGCGTCAGACACGCCTGACCGAGCGTTCTCTCCTTTTAGGGTCTTGAAGGAGCAATGGATTCGAGCAAAATATGAGAGACAGGAATTTATGGCCGATGGGAAAATCGTCTCCCCACCAGGTAAAGTTATTCTCATCACCCTCTGAGCTCTGTGTTCTAACAAGCTCTAGAAACACAGTGGCTGGGGGCTGGGAGCAGCGTCCACCCGACAGCTGCCTGCTGCCCTCGCGCTGGCCGCCGAGACCGACTGTGGGATCCTTTGCCTCTAAAACAGCAACACGTGAGGGGCAGGGCGGGGCTCAGTCCTGGCCGAGACGCAGTAGTGTGCAGAGTCCTAGTAGGAATTGCAGGAAGACACCTCCGCCAGGCAGACCAGCTGGAGGCAGGCACCCCCTCTCCTGGCTCCGGCAGCTCCTGGGGCAGCGTGAGGCATGGTGAGGACCGTGGACTGGATCTCAGCCTCCCTTTCCGCCATCGTGCAGGGGGCAGTGGTGTCCGTGGTGCTGGATTTGGGGTGGTTTTCACCCTGCTGCCCTGAGTCGAAGCTGACACTGACCCACAGGGCAAAGTGTGCGGAAGCTCACTGAGATCCCGGGAGGCAGTCAGTGCTCATTCTCCTGGATCCCAGGGGTGCCAAGTCCTCCCGCAGTCAGCAAGTGCCTGGAGATCACACGTTTGTGCCTAGGTTTCATTAGCCTGTTGTCAGAGGGAAGCTGTGCAGGACCATGTAAATCCAGGCCTCCTGAGGGACTGATCCACTTTCTCAAACCTTAGCCCTCTTTTTTTTTTTTTTTAAGTATAGACTCAGTGAGTTTATTTTGTTTTGTTTTGTTTGTTTTTTTAAAGATTTATTTATTTATTTGAAGGTCAGAGTTACACCGAGAGAGGAGAGGCAGAGAGAGAGGTCTTCCATCCGATGGTTCACTCCCCAGATGGCCGCAACGGTTAGAGCTGCACCGATCCAAAGCCAGGAGCCAGGAGCCTCTTCCTGATCTCCCACATGGGTGCAGAGGCCCAAGGAGTTGGGCCATCTTCTACTGCTTTCCCAGGCCATAGCAGAGAGCTGGACAGGAAGTGGAGCAGCTGGGTCTCAAACCGGCGCCCTTATGGGATGCCGGCGCTTCAGGCCAGGGCTTTAACCCACCTTAGCCCTCTTTGGGTTAGTTATGGTTTCTTTTGAAATATTTTTGATCTATCTATTTTCATTTTGTTTGAACGGCAGAGGGATGAGAGAGAGAGAGGGAGGAAGAGAGAGAGAGGATCATCTGTCCTCTAGTTCACTCCCCAGATGTCTGCAACAGCTGGGGCCGGACCAGGCCAAACCCAAGAGCCCAGGACTTAATCCAGGTCTCCCGCCTGGGTGGCAGAGACCCAGGTACTTAAGGCATCATCTGCTGTCTCCCTGCTGCACAGGGCAGGAAGCTGAGGTGGAAGCAGAGGAGCTGGGACCCCAAGCAGGCACTCCTCTCTGGGATGTGGGTGTCCCGAGAGCAGCATCTTAACTGCTGCACCGAACGCCTGCTCCTGGCCACGTCTTCTGATGACAGACACGAATCCTAGCACTGACCCACTGATGCCCACAGAGCTCTTCCTGGCAGACAGCCTGATCCTACGGAGAGCCAAGGAAGAAAGGATTTGCACAGGGGGAAGTCCGACAGAAATGATCAGATGCTGCAGAACTGGCCCCGGGGGACCCCCGGGTCCTGCAGCTGGCGGAAGGCCAGCCACACCTGTGAGCTGCCTGTGTGTGTTCAGGTGTTGCATGTTCACCTTTCTCCTTCTTGGTGTTAAGGCAACCGCGAAGGCATCCTGTGGAAGCGAGGGCGGGACAACGCACAGTTCCTGAGAAGGAGGTTTGTCCTTCTGGCAAGAGAAGGCGTTCTGAAGTACTACACTAAGGAGGAGGTGAGAGGCGAGAGCCGAGCGCCCCACCATGGGGCAGGGGGCGCACCCCACCAAGGTCAATGCTGTAATCCCGGATACCTTGTCCTGAGGCTAATCGCAGCCACTGAGAAGTGAGCACACGCTGTTACTTCTCCTTGTTCATACAATCAGTCCAATCCAGTGGGAAACACAGTCTCCCACGTGGGTGACAAGGACTCAGATACTTTAGCCATCATCTGTTACCTCTCAGGTGCACTGGCAGGAAGCTGGGACAGAAGCAGAGTAACCAGTACTCACACCAGGCACTCAGATACGGGACTTAAGCCACTGTGCCAAATGCCCACCCTGGAGCAGAATTTTTTAATTTTATTTCATTGTCACCTGAGTAGCCTCATGTTGTTCATGGCCACCCCAGGTCTGGAGCGTTGGTGTCTTCTCATGTCTGCCTACCCCTTCTTCAGCACCCCAAAGACAGCAGGAGCACTGGAGGGAGTTCCCTGAGGCCCCTACCTGTTTATGTTTGGTTGTTTGTTTTGTTTGGCTTCCACAGAGGATTTGCTCCAGGAAACGTTGTGTGGCTGAACCATCAGAGAAGTCCCAGCCTAAGTCAAGGCCTTTCCAAACCCCTTCCAGCTCTGACAGCCCAGCGGCCTGGGCAGGGCTCAGGGGATGACAGAGGCCAGGAAGTCAGATAGAACATCTGTGCATTGTAATGCTACAGCAGGAACATTTAGACAACCTACACAGTTGGGGGCAGATGTTTGCTACAGCAGTTAAAATGCTGCATGGGTGCCCACATCCCATACTGGGATGCTTGGGTTCAAGTCCCAGCTCTGCTTGCTTGCTTGCTTGCTTTCTTTTCTTTTCTTTCTTTTTTTTTTTAAGCAATATCCTCTACTTTATTTCTCAAATCCACATTTTTATCTGAAATACAATAATTTTTAAGGGACTAAAATACAATAATTTATACAATAAAACAGTTCCTGCAGCAAAACCAACAAATTAGGAGAGTTTCTTATTTTTTTTTTTATTTTTTTTTTTGACAGGCAGAGTGGACAGTGAGAGAGAGAGACAGAGAGAAAGGTCTTCCTTTGCCGTTGGTTCACCCTCCAATGGCCGCCGTGGACAGCGCGCTGCGGCCGGCGCGCCGCGCTGATCCGATGGCAGGAGCCAGGAGCCAGGTGCTTTTCCTGGTCTCCCATGGGGTGCAGGGCCCAAGCACCTGGGCCATCCTCCACTGCACTCCCTGGCCACAGCAGAGAGCTGGCCTGGAAGAGGGGCAACCGGGACAGAATCCGGCGCCCCAACCGGGACTAGAACCCGGTGTGCCGGCGCCGCTAGGCGGAGGATTAGCCTAGTGAGCCGCGGCGCCGGCCGGAGAGTTTCTTAAATTATTGTTTTTTAAATGCTATAGTACCAGCTCTGCTCTTGATTCCAGCTTCCTGCTAATGTGCACCTTGGGAGGCAGCAGGTGATGGGCCAAATACTTGGATCCCTGCCACCCATATGGGAGACCTGGATGGAGTTCCAGGCTCCTGGCTTCAGCCTAGCCCAGCTCCCAGTGGGCATCTGGGGAGGGAACCATTGAATGGGAGATCTCTATTTCTCTGTCTCTGTCTCTATCTCTGTGTCTTCCTGCTTTTCAAATAAAAAAAATACTAAAAAAAATAAGGCCCTTGGGGCCAGCATTGTGGCATTGTGAGTAAAGCTGCTGCCTGCAACACTGGCATCCCATATGAGTGCTGGTTCCAGTCCTGATTGTTCCACTTCTGATCCAGGTTCCTGGGAAAAGCAGTAGGAGATGTCCCAAGTGCTTGGGCCCCTGCCACCCAGTGGGAGATCTGGAAGAATCTCCTGGCTCCTGGCATTACGGCCATCTGGGGAGTGAACCAGTAGATGGAAGATCTCTCTCTCTCTCTCTCTCTCTCTCTCTCTCTCTGTCTCTCCCTCTCTGTGTGTAACTCTTTCAAATAAATAAATTGACATATATTTATTTACTTATTTATTTAAAAAATATTTATTTATTTGAAAGTCAGAATTATATATAGAGAGGGAGAGACAGAGAGAGCTGTCTTCCACCTGCTGGTTCACTCCCCAAATGGCTGCAATGACCAGGGCTGGGCCAGGCTGAAGCCAGGAGCCAGGAGCTTCTTCCGGGTCTCCTTCATGGGTGCAAGGGCCCAAGCACTTGGGCTGTCCTCTGCTGCTTTCCCAGGTGCATTAGCAGGGAGTTGGATTGGAAGTGGAGCAGCTGGGACTCGAACTGGCACCCATATGGGATGCTGGCACTGCAGACAGCAGTTTTACCTGTCAAACCACAGTGCTAACCTTAAATAAATATTTTTTAAGATATTTATTTATTTATTTCACAGGCAGAGTGGACAATGAGACAGAGAGAAAGGTTTTTCTTTTGCTGTTGGTTCACCCCACAATGGCCGCTGCGGCCAGCGCACCACGCTGATCCGAAGCCAGGAGCCAGGTGCTTCCTCCTGGTTTCCCATGCGGGTGCAGGGCCCAAGCACTTGGGCCATCCTCCACTGCCTTCCTGGGCCACAGCAGAGAGCTGGACTGGAAGAGGAGCAACCCGGACAGAATCCGGCACCCCAACTGGGACTAGAACCTGGTGTGCCGGCGCCTCAGGCAGAGGATTAGCCTATTGAGTGGCAGCACCGGCCAAGATTTTTATTTATTTATTAGACAGGTAGAATTATAAACAGTTAGAGAGAGACACAGAGAAAGGTCCTCCCTCCATTGGTTCACACCCCAAATGGCCGCAACGGCTGGAGCTATGCCGATCTGAAGCCAGGAGCCAGGTGCCTGCTCCTGGTCTCCCATGCGGGTGCAGGGACCCAAGCACCCGGACCATCCTCCACTGCCTTCCCAGGCCATAGCAGAGAGCTGGACTGGAAGAGGAGCAACCGGGATTAGAACCCGGCATCCCCTAGAACCGGCACCCATATGGGATGCCGGTGCCGCAGACGGGAGGATTAACCTAGTGCGCCGGCCCCCAATAAATCTTTTTAAAAAATAAAAATAGCAAAGTTAGAATGAGGTTGTTTGGGTCAAGGCCGTGGTGAGGGTGCCAGGAAGCCGCTGACTGCACAGAGTGTCCTCTCTCTCTGTTTCAGGGTAAAAGCCCCAAGGCTGTCATCAGCATCAAGGACTTGAATGCCACCTTCCAGACAGAGAAGATAGGGCATCCTCACGGACTGCAGATCACCTACAGGAAAGAGGGCCACACCAGGAGCCTGTTTGTGTATCACGAGAGTGGGAAGGTGAGGTGACGGGAGCTGCCGCCACCTGCAGCGCAGCATCCCAGGGCCCTGCCAGCCCAGCTCACGCCGCCCTTGCTCACCGGGTGATGGGCTCAGCACCTCCTGGGGACTGCCTGCGGCTGTCTGCCCTCACCTGTTGTCACCTCCCAGCCTGAGGCAGGAGTGAGGAAAGCAGAGTGAGAAGAGGAGAGGAGTCTGGGGTGCCATGGACACGCCTGGGCAGTGCACAGCCCCCATGGGAGTCGCTTTGCAGAAGGGACGATGCCCAGGGACAATAAAGCCAGGTGGGGCCACAGATTCTGACTGTGGGAGAAAGAGTCAGGCTAGGGCCTCGCTTCTCGGCCTGCCATCCTGGACCCACCATGCTGGCATCCCTGGGAGCTTGTTAGCAGCAGCGGCTCTGGCCCACCCCAGACCTACTGGGTAGAAGCTGCATGTGAGCAGCAGGGCGAGTGATGCAGATGCGTGCAAAGTTTGAGAAGCGTTAATGGCCCGGGAAGCCAGGCAAGCCAGAGCCCACACAGGCTCAGGTACCTGGTGGGGGGGAGGGGGTACAAAGATGCTAAGTGGGGTGGCGTGGGGGCTGACATTCCATGAGCGTCCATATTCCATGAGCGTCCATGAACTCTGTTCCTGAGACGTGGACACTGAGCCCTGCGTGTGGGACAACCCCTGGCAGCAGGAGCCAGGAACCCCATGCTGGAGCAGCGACCACATGTCGCCCTCCCAGCAGGCTTCATGCTTTCTCCATGGTCTGGTCTGGAGAGCCAGGCTTTGGAGTCAGAGATGGGAGCCCTGGCTCTGGTGCTCTCAGCAAGTCCCTTCCCTCCTGCATGTGTCTGTGGATTCCAACACCCACCTCCGAGAAGGGGTTGGAGTGGCCGTGAACCACAAACTTCAGTTGCTGTAGGTGTTATGAGCTCCCGACTGTAGCAGGTGGAAAGGGCAAAGCCTTGTAGCCACCTTCACACCTCATCCTCCCTTCCCACAAGCCCTTGCTGAGCCCTGCAGGGTACAAAGCACTGGGCCAGGGGCTAGGGTGCCGGGGAGTGAGTGGGGTGGAGCTGTGGGCCTCAAGGGACCCACAGTCCAGGGAGGAGGGAGGGAGCCAGGTACTCACAGGGCTGTGTGATGGGGTGGGGTCACACTGGGGATGCACAGATGATGTGCATCCTGATGGAGGAGGGGCGGGCTCACAAAGCCTCTCTGGAGAAGGGGGTTTCTGCTTGAGAATGCGCTGAAAAGAGGTGTGGCTGGGCAAGTGCACGCTTTCTCTACAGCAGGTCCACGGTTTCTGTACCTCCAGGGGTCTTTGTTTCTGTAAACTAAAGGACTCTGACCATGATTGGCAGGGAATCCAGCGTGAGTGAGCTTCTCCACTCCCTCTCATCATTTCACCAGAATCTTAGGACTTGTGCGGTCTGGGAGACATGGAAGTGGTCCCTGGTGGCCAAACCAGCAGGACATCGGCGGCTACTCTTCCATACCACTCACAGCCACGAGGACTCTGCCCTCAGGCCACCTGGCTCCCTCCCTTTCTCCCAGCTGTGGTGCATCTGACAACGTGGGGCTGCTCATTCTATTTCACTTTGTGCCCAGTCTCTCTGTCAGGAGGGCATAAATGGGATTATAATCCTTGCCTGCAGGAGCCAGATGGTGATTTAAAAGTGAAGCGGAGGCCGGCACCGCAGCTCACTAGGCTAATTCTCCGCCTGCGGCGCCGGCACACCGGGTTCTAGTCCTGGTCGGGGCACCGGATTCTGTCCGGGTTGCCCCTCTTCCAGGCCAGCTCTCTGCTGTGACCAGGGAGTACAGTGGAGGATGGCCCAGGTGCTTGGGCCCTGCACCCCATGGGAGACCAGGATAAGTACCTGGTTCCTGCCATCGGATTAGCGCGGTGCGCTGGCCGCAGCGCGCCAGCTGCAGCGCGCCAGCCACAGCGGCCATTGAAGGGTGAACCAATGGCAAAGGAAGACATTTCTCTCTCTGTCTCTCTCTCTCACTGTCCACTCTGTCAAAAAAAAAAAAAAAAAAAAAAAAAAAAAAAGTGAAGCGGACAGGTGCCGGTGCTGTGGCACAGCCATTAAGCTGCTGTTTGTAATGCTGGCACTTTCACGTCCTAGCTGCTCTGCTTTTTTTTTTTTTTTTTTTTTTAAGATTTCTTTTTACTATTTATTTGAAAGACACAGTTACAGAGAGAGCAGGAAGGAGAGAGAGGGAGAGAGGGAAAGAGAGAGAGAGAGAGAGAGAATCTTCTATCTGCCAGTTCACTCCCCAGATGGCCACAATGGCCCGGGCTGGGCCACATTGAAGCCAGCTTCTTCTGGGTCTCCCACATGGGTGCAGGGATGCAAGCACTTGGGCCATCTTCCACTGCTTCCCAGGCACATCAGCAGGGAGCTGGATCTGAAGTGGAGCAGCTGGGACTCGAACCAGCGCCCATATGGGATGCTGGCATTGCAGGAGGCAGCTTAACCCACTATGGCATGCCACAATGCCGGCCCCTCTGCTTCTTTTTTAAAAGATGTATTTATTTATTTGAAAGGCAGAGTTACAAAGAGAGGGAGCAACAGAGAAAGAGAGATCTCTTGGGCAGACAGAGTGACTTTCCAATCCCAACTCTGGCTTGGCGGGCTCAGAGGAGTCTAAGGGGCATCGTGGCACAGCGGGTCAGGCCGCCGCTCAGGACACACACCTGCATCCCACATCAGCAAGGCAGTGGTTCCCCATGGCATGTGTCCTCCCAGAGCGACAGCAGAATGCGCCAAGCCAGCTGTGGCCCCAGTCCGCGCCCTCGCCCCGGAGAGGCCAGGCTTGGACAGCTGAGGACGTCTTTCCTAGCTCCTTCCTTCTCACTGTATCAACTGAGCAGCAGTGTCCTGGCACCTGGGAGTGTGTTAGGGAATGACTCTCGTGAGCCCTGTCCCCTGTCCCAGGCCTATTTGATCTGAATCTGCATTAAAAAAATTTTTTTAGTGGCTTAACAGGTTAAGCACTGCCTGCAATGCCAGCATCCCCTATGGGCTCTGGCTGTTCCATTTCTAATCCAGCTCCCTGCTGGATTTTAAATTGATTTATCTGAAGGGCAGAAAGAGAAACAGAGAGCTCCCTTCTGCCGATTCATTCCCCAAATGCCCACAACAGCCAGGACTGGGTCAGGCCAAGCTAGAAGTCTAGAATGCGGGTGGCAAGGACTCCAGCATTTGATCCCGGAGTGCACACTGGCAGGAAGCTGCCATCGGAAGCAGAGCCGGGACTCGAACCTAGGCACTCTGATAGGAAATGTGAGTATCCCAAGCAGCGTCTTACCCACTGCACCAAACGCTTGTCCCTGCATCCAAGTGAGTCTTACACACATTGGAAAGTGAAAGGACGGGCATTTGGTCTAGCAGTTAAGACACCAGTTGGGCTGGCAACATCCCACACTGGTGTGCCTGAGTTCAAGTCCAGCTCCACTTCCGATTCCAACTTCCTTCTGATGCACACCTTGGGAAGCAGCAGTGACGGTCCAGGCTGTTGGGTCCCTGTCACCCACATGGGAGACCTGGACTGAGTTCTAGTTCGAGGCTTTGGCCTAGCTCAGCAGATGAGAGCTCTCTCTCTCTGCCTTTCAAATAAACAAGCCAACAACGTGAAAAATACTGTCCCAGGCCATTGTATAGCTCCCTGCAGCGCCCTTCCCCCAGCCTGGGGGTGCGCCCTGGACCTGGCTGCCTACCTGCTCAGTTTGGACGATACAGCTCTGATGGCATCCTCCCCAGGTGCCCCTGAGTAGACATGTGTGCACATGCCCCAACCCTGAGGCTGCCAGCTGCTGCCACCACGCCCCCGGCTGCCCACACGGTCTCTGCGTTTCTCTCGGCAGGAGATAGTGGACTGGTTCAACGCCCTCCGTGCAGCCCGGCTGCAGTACCTGCAAACGGCCTTCCCTGAGCTCCCGGAGTCGGAGGTAAGCGGGACACGGCCCCAGCTTCTGAGCGTCCCCTCCGCCACCTCCTCCTCACCTGTCTGCTGAACCCACAGACACTCAGAGGTCAGGCCAGGGCTGTGTGCAGGCAGGGCCCCGAGACCTGAGGGCTGGGCACCTCAGAGGGAGGCAGGGGGCTCACGGCCCCACCTGGCAAGGTGGTCTCCAAAAAGCAGGCCTGTTTCTCCCCTTCAGGACGCAAGGCCACTCCATAGCGACGAAAGAACTCAGGGTGGCAGCATCTCTTTCTGACCCCTTCTGCCGCTGAAAAGTGCAAACGATCCCTAACAGCCGCTTGTGGCCTGGTCACCCCATTACAGTAGCAGAGGCAGTCACTCCTACTGAAAAGTCCCGCAAGAAGTGAATCACCCAGGGGCTCGTCCCTGCCTAGCTTCTCCCCTCCCCCTGCGGAGTTCTGCTCTCAGGAAGGGCCTGAGATCTTCCCCACTGTCATTGTCACAGGAGCAGCTCAGCCTTCCGTGGCCAAGGTCATGGTGGGCCTGAGAACTCCCATCTGCCTCCCCCAGGCATGGAGGGGGAGCATGCCCACAAGATGTGGGGCAGAAGGTGCTGCCTTGAGCCAGGAGACCTGGGTCCTCGTGGAAGCTCTGTCGCTAACTTGCTGTGTGACCCTCCAGGTCGTGGAACCTCTCTGAGAAGTGCAGTTTCTGTGTTGGTCAGATGGCAGCTGGCCAGACATCTTCACAGTTCCTTCCAGCTGAGAGACTGTGGTCTGTTCTCTGTTTTTCAGTTCCTCTCTAAGAAGATTTTGTAAGTGATAGGCATGGAAAGACCATACTCATCCTGGGATTTTCTTTTCTTTCGTTCTTTTTTTTTTTTTTAGATTTTTTTATTTATTTGAGAGGTAGAGTTACAGACAGTGAGAGGGAGAGACAGAGAGAAAAGTTTTCCTTCCGTTGGTTCATGCCCCCAGATGGCCGCAATAGCCAGAGCTGCACCGGGAGCCAGGAGCTTCTTCTCAGTCTCCCATGCCAGTGCAGGGGTCCAAGGACTTGGACCATCTTCTACTGCTTTCCCAGGCTGTAGCAGAGAGCTGGATCAGAAGTGGAGCAGCTGGGACTAGAAACCAATGTCCAAATGGGATGTCGGCACTGCAGGTGGAAGATCAACCTACTGCGCCATGGCACCGGCCCCACCTGGGATTTCTTGTTTCCAATCCTTTGACCCTCCTTGAAAGCCTAAATGCTCCTTAATTCCAGGGTCTGCAGGGAGCTGAGTGTCTGGGATACAGCGCTGAGACAGCACCTCCCTGGGTACAGTCCCAGCATGGCCTGGTTGTGGGTGTGCTGAGTCAGCGGCCAGAACTGGTCAAGGCCAGGGCATTAGGACTGCTGACTGCTGACTGCTGACCAGAGAGGAAGGGCAAAGGACAGAGGCTCAGCCTTACTTCATCTGTTCAAGCTTCCCATCTTGGCTGGCCGGTGTGGCCAGCAGTGACCCAGAGTTCCCGTGACTCCTGAGCCATTGTCACTCCCCCTTGCCCATCCCCAGCCTCCTCCCAGCCTGCACCTGTGCACGGCGGGAGGTTTGGGGCAGTGATCCAGGCTGGTGCAAGCTTAAGGATCCAGACGCCCCAAACCTCGAAGTCCAGTGGGGCGGTGGCCCTGTGATCAGAAATGCGTGTCACCTCAGGGCACCTGCCTGTCTCTAGGTGGAGGACACCCACAGCACGGCTATTGTGAGAGGGGAGGAAGCCGGGACCCAAGCACTTCCCTCCTGCTGCCCGGGGTTTCCACACTGGCAGTGCTGGCTGTTGTTCAGAATCCTGAGCAGTTAGGGACTTGGCTTTCTCCCAGTGCAGGAATTAAAGCCTACTGCAGATGAGAGAGGGCAGTGGCATAGTTTACATTTTAAGTTTTTTAATGAAATTAAAATCAATCACTTAATTTTAAATTTGCTTATTGAGGGGGGGCAGAGTGAGAGAGAGCAAGAGAGGGAGAGCTCCCATCCTCCTCTGGTTCACCCTCAGAATGCAAACAATGGCCAGGGCTGGGCCAGGCTGGAGTCAGGAGTCAGGAGCACAGTCCAGGTCTTCTACATGGGTGGCAGGGACCCAAGTACTTGAACCATCACTTGCCGCCTCCCAGGGTGTGCATTGACAAGAAGCTCTGGAATAGAGAGCAAGGCCAAGACGTGAACCCCAGCACTCCCACAAGGGATGCGAGTGTCCCAACTGATGCCTTTACTCCTCGGCCCAATGTTCACCTTGGGATTTTCATGTTTAGCTCCTATGGTTCCCCCTTTCACTCTCCACTGTGGTTCCCCAGCCCCTGCCCTGGGCCCCTGAGCTCTGGGGCAGCGTCCCCCTTCCTGGAAGCCTGCCTTGTTGTCTGAAGTTCTGGACTTGTCAGGTTGGCCCCTGGAGCACAGGAGACTAGTATCCCTGCACGCCTCTGTGTGCACAGGACGCCGGCTGGAGGTGGATCCGCCAGAGCCCACGATCCAGTCTCCACACCGGAGAACCAGGCCCAGAGAGACAGAGGACTCACCAGGGTGGCACAGCTGGCAGAGGCCTCCAGACGCCTAGTCCAGGGCTTGCTCTGCCCATCCTGCCACCACCTCCTGGAGGCCCTGGGCCAGGATCCCCAGCAATGACCTGCTCAGGGCCGGGAGGCTCTGGCCTGCTCACATGTTAGCGTCACAGTGCAGCAGTGCTGGGGCCATGGCTCAGTGTCCGTCAGCCCCGGCTGTGAATCCCAGCTCCCCAGGCCTCCAGCTCTGGGACTTGGAGAGAATTCCTGAGCACATGTCTGCGCCCTGGATTCATCAGGGGTGCAGCAAGGCTGGTGAGACCCACCCTCCTTGGAGGCTGAGAACTGTGTCTCACCGGGCCCTCCAGATAAGCTCCCTGACTCCAAGAGCGGTGGCTCAGCCATGTCCTGCACGCTCTGAGCACGGCGCGGGTGCTGTGGACTGGCTTTATTGAAATATGAAGATTACATCCAGGGCACATTCTAAATATAACCCCATGGCCCCCGCCACCGCACATCCTTCCCCATTCCCGACTTCCCCTTTGATGGGGAGCCAAGCTCAGTGGGGAACCTCCAGCCCCCCACCCCATCCCTCGGGTGATATGTAGGGGGCCAGCTTCTGTCTCTCTCCCCTCAGCTCCTGCCCCTCCTCACGAGGAATTACCTCAAACAAGGCTTCATGGAGAAGACGGGTCCAAAGGTAGGTCCCCGTGGGGACTCACCGGGCCCTGTCCAGGGAGGCAGCAGGTGCCGAACTGGGGGTGGAGGGTGGGAGGGCGAGGGAATGGGTGAATGAGGGGAAGGGAAGTAAAGTGAGACCCGTGCATCCCTGGGCTGAAGGCCCAAGTGGCAAAGGAGATGTCAGCTGGTCTGTGGCCCAGCGTGGGCGTGGGCATGGCGTGGCCTCTCCCTCTCATGGCAGCCCCCTCTTAGCCTCATCACCTTCGGCTTCTCTCAACTCCCCTCAAGTGCCCCATGCCTGTGAAAGCAGGGCAGGGGCTTCCCAGGGCTTAACAGACACACTTGTGCACCAAGGCTCATGCACCAGTGGGACCCCATAGGCATGCCCCTCCCCCAGCGTGCACCCCAGTGGCTGCTCACCCCCTCTTATCCCTGGAGGATGGCGAGGCCTGGCTGCTTTGGGGAGGAACATCCAGAGAGGTGGAGCCTGAGCGAAGGTGGAGGCCAGGGCCAGCAAGTGGTCATGAGGGAGGGGAAGGGAGCAGGAGGAAGAGAAGGGGAGGAGTGGAAGGAGTTCCCTAAAAACTGAGCCCCACACGGCAGCATTCTGGGGCTTGCTTTCGGAAAGATTTAGCCTGGTTGCAGGATGCTTGTTAAGAGGACAGTGAGCGGTGCAGGTGGGGGGGGGGTGTCTGCATGCCAAGGGGCAGGGCAGGCAGAGCGAGCAGTCCTGGGGCCCAGCCCTCCTGTGTTCCTTGCCCCAGGGCTCCGCTGACCTCCGGTAGGATCTGGCCCAGGCCAGCACTCTCAGCCTCCCTGAGCAGCTGCCACTTCTGATTTCCCAGCTTCCTCTTCTTGAGGCTCCCTTGTCCACAGCCTGAGAAAGAGGGAAGCGCCTGGGTTAACCCAAGCAGCACCTACGGGCAGCAGGGAGAAGCTGGCGGCAGGGGGGGGCTGGGCTGGAAGGTGGGAGGTTTGGGGAGGGGGTCTGAGGGACCCCAGGAGGAAGCGTTAGGGTATCTGACTTCCAGGGTGCTTGCCCGTGGAGTGGAGGCCTGAGGCCGGGCTGCATGGCTGTCTCTGGGCTGGCCTCTGACCTCTGACCTCAGGAAGTGCTTGGGGCCCACCATCCCTGGTAAGGGACTTCCTCTTTTGCAGCACAGAGAACCTTTCAAGAAAAGGTGGTTCGCCCTGGATCCCCAGGAGCGGAGGCTGCTCTATTACAAGAACCCACTGGTAAGCGCTGCTGTGGTCCCTCCCCAGGAGACCCCCACCCAGGCTGGGGGGTGGGGGTGGGGCGGCATCTCCTGGGCCTGAGGCCTCCCCTGCCCTCACCTTCAGGAAGTGCTTCACAAGAGTGCCCAGTGCCGCCCACTGAGGTCACATCCGGTGCCTGCCTCCTCCAGTCTCCAGGGGCCCACGGCATGGAGTGGCTGGGAGTGGGGGGGAGCGTGGGCTCCTGGCACCGCCACGCCCCTGGCAGGGCTGCACCCTGGGCAGAGCACTGGGCTCTGTGTGCCTTAGTCTGCTCTGAAAAATGGGCTAAGTAAGAACGCTCTCCTTGGAGGCGGTCCCACGACAGTGTGCACTGAAGTACCTAGCCTGGTGGCTTCTCCACGAGGGAACAGAACGCACGCTGAGTGATGTAGGTCGGGGATTTCACCTTTCAAACTCCCACCTAGCAGAGATCTCGGTGCGGACACCCATGACCCTTCCCCAGATAGAGCCTGCGGGGCCGTGAGGGCTGCAGGGAGTGGGTCCCGCTGCCCCAGGGACAGCCTCTGAGGACGCCGGGCCCGGATTGTAGGACGCCTTTGAGCAGGGCCAGGTCTTCCTCGGGAGCAAGGAGCACGGGTACGAAGTCTGTGAAGACCTGCCCAAGGGCGTCCGGGGGAGCCGCTGGAAGGCTGGCCTCACCGTGGTCACCCCAGAGCGGAGATTCGTCCTCACCTGCCCCACGGAGAAGGAGCAGCGCGAGTGGCTGGAGAGTCTGCGGGAGGGTCCTGGCCCGGCCCCTGACGCCCCTCCTCCTCGGTGAGCCTCGGGGCCTGGGGGTTAGCGGGGTTTGGCCCAGCAGTTTGGGTACCTGCCCCCATCACACATTCATCCTGAGTTCCATTGCTGGCTCCTGATCCCAGCTTCCCACCAACGCAGGCCTGGGGCAGCAGCTGATGCCTCAAATAGTTGAGTCTCTGCCACCCTCATGGGAGACCTGCACGGGTTCCCCTCTCTCCTCTTGCCTTGAGGGCATTCAGCAAAAGGAATCCCAGTCTCTCTCTCTCTCTCTCTCTCTCTCTTTCATCCTGCCTTTAAAAACAATCCCGGAGGCCTGTATTGTGGCACAGCAGGTTAAGCCATGGCCTGTAATGCCAGTATCCCACACAGGCACCAGTTTGAGTCCCTCCTGTTCCACTTCCTATCCAGCTCCCTGCTGATGCACCTGGAAACGCAGTGGAAGATGGTCCAAATGCTTGGGCCCCTGCCACCCACTTGGGAGACCAGGATGAAACTCCTGGCTCCTGGCTTCAGCCTGGCCCAACACTGGCTGTTGTGGCCATTTGAGGAGTGAACCAGCGGATGGAAGACCTCTCTCTGTCCTTCTCCTCTTCTTCTCTCCATCTTTTTTCCTCTCTTCCTCTGTGTCTCTATAACTCTGCCTTTCAAATAATAGTCTTTAAGAATTTTATTTAAAAAAGGATCAGGGCCAGCGCCGTGGCTCACCAGGCTAATCCTCCGCCTAGCGGCGCCGGCATACCGGTTCTAGTCCTAGTCGGGACGCCAGATTCTTTCCCAGTTGCCCCTCTTCCAGGCCAGCTCTCTGCTGTGGCCAGGGAGTGCAGTGGAGGATGGCCCAAGTGCTTGGGTCCTGCACCCCATGGGAGACCAGAAGAAGCACCTGGCTCCTGGCTTTGGATCAGCGCGGTACGCTGGCCACAGCATGCTGGCCTCAGTGGCCATTGGAAGGTGAACCAACGGCAAAAGGAAGACCTTTCTCTCTGTCTCTCTCTCTCTGTCCACTCTGTCTATCAAAAAAAAAAAAAAAAAGAAAGAAAAAAAAAGAAAGAAAGAAAGAAAAAGAAAAAGAAAAAAAGAATCGGGGGCTGGAGTTTTTTTGGCTGAGGGCTGAGGGGCTGCCTCACAGCAGTGCCACAGGAGAGCCCGGACCATGCGCTGTCACCTCTTCCTGCCAAAGAGCACAGAGCGTGGGCGTTCCTGGGAGTCCCGGTGTGCAGTAAGATCCTCCAGTGGAGCCCTTCTCAGTAAGCTTCTAGCAGGGGGGGCTGGCATCTCCTGGGGCTGAGCAGTGTCCTGCTCCCACCCCCTGGCACGGCCACCCCTGCTGGGCAGCTCCTGGGGGTCTGAATTCTTCCCCACTGCCCAGGGCAGGCTATTTCTGGTGTCTTAGCCCTGTCCTCTCTTCTGCTCCTCCTCACCACAGGTCACCAGGGGGCTTCCCTGTGTGCCCCCAGCCCTGTGGAAAGAGAGGAGAGTGACGAACTGCAGCAGGAAGCTTCCCACCCAGGGCCTGACTTCAGGGGCACCACGGAGATGTTCTGTGTTTGGAAAAGTACAGACTGAGCAGGTGACACCGCGCGGTCCCCTGGGGGCTGGAGTCCACCCACTGTCCCAGAGCCAAAGCCACAGCGCCTCAAAAAGTTTTAGAAACTGCTAGCAAAGCATGTCACCTTTCTTTTAACATTTTAATTTTTTAAAACTATTTATTTTATTTGAAAGGCAGAGAGAGAGAGAGGGAGATCTTCCATCTGCTGGGTCACTTCCCAAATGGCTGGAGCTGGGCCAGGTGGATGCCAGGATTCAGGAACTCCATCTGGGTCTCCCATGTGGGTAGTAGGGGTCCAAGCACTTGGGCCAGCTTCTGCTGTTTTCCCAGGCACATTAGCAGGGAGCTGGATCAGAAATGGAGCAGCCAGGACTTCAGCCAGCATTTCTGTCTGTGTCTGTTTTTCTCTCCTCCTCTGCTGTCTGTCCTCTGCTGTCTGTCCTTACGTTTTTGGTCTGTTTTTCACTCTGGCGCCTTCTGTCACTGTCAGCCTGTCTCCTTGCTGTCTCTTCCCTCCAGCAGGCCTGCACCAGCACCACCACCTCCCTCAGCCCCCCTTCTCTTCACTTGTAGCTGCATCAACAGGAGTGGCCAGAGCAGCAGGTGACTGGTCTCCCAGGAGCTGGCTGCCCACTGACACACCTGGAGCTCCTGATGGGAGAAAGTGTGGCACCTTGGCCTGGCCGCCCAGAGGAAGTGCCTCACAGTCAGCAGCCTCCGCCGCTGGCCAGCCTCGGGGACCTGGGGCTCTGGCACACAGATGAACACGTGTGCCTCCCGCGTCCTGCGTACACCCAGGCTTGAAATGGCCACGCGGGCCAGGACTTCCTCACACCACGTGATGCCTCATGCAGGTGGCATCTGGCCCACACCCAGAAAGTTTAGTCTGGATCTAAACGTGAGGACCTCACCAGGCAAATGCACCTTGGAGACCTTGTGCTGAACAACTGGCCTGGACTCGCCAAACCGTCAGTGCCGCGAAAGGGGAAGTAATCTGGGAACTGCCCGAGGTTCAAGGAGACGAAGACTCGGCAACCAAGTCGACTCTTGATTGGACCCTGGATCTGGCAAGGGCAGAACTGGAGAAATCGGAGTCTGGAAATATGAATGTATATTGGCTAATAGTGCTGTAAGACTGATAACTATGCCCTGTTTTTGTAGAATGCTCTTGTTCTTAGGAGACACATGCTGAAGTATTTAAGGATCAAATGTCATGTCTACAACTGATTTCTTAAATGGCTCAGCAAGAAAATCAGTGTATGTGTACACATACTTGTACAGAGTATGTAAATATGTGGGGGAGGGGCCAGTGCTGGGGACAGGGTTAGGCCACATAGGAGTGCTGGATCCAGTCCTGGCTGCTCCACTTCTGAGCCAGCTCCCTGCTAATGCGTCTGGGAAAGCAGCAGAGGATGAAGCAAGTGCTTGGGCCCCTGCACCCATGAGGGAGACCTGCACGAAGCTCCTGGCTCCTGGCTTCAGCCTTGCCCAGCTTCTGCCATTGTAGCCATATTATGAGTGAACCAGTGGCAGGAATATCTCTCTAACTCTGCCTTTCAAATAAATATTTTTTTTTTTTTTTTTTGGACAGGCAGAGTTAGACAGTGAGAGAGAGGACAAAAAGAAAGGTCTTCCTTCCGTTGGTTCACCCTCCAAATGGCCGCCACGGCTGGCACCCTGCACCGATTCGAAGCCAGGAGCCAGGTGCTCCCTCCTGGTCTCCCAGGCGGGTGCAGGACCCAAGCACTTGGGCCATCCTCCACTGCACTCCTGGGCCACAGCAGAGAGCTGGACTAGAAGAGGAACAACCAGGACAGAACTGGCGCCCTAACCGGGACCAGAACCCGGAGTGCCGCAAGTGGAAGAGTAGCCTAGTGAGCTGCGGCACTGGCCATCAAATAAATAAATATTAAAAAAAAAAAAAAGTGTGGGGAGTGCCCTTGTGCAAAATGTTTGCAACTGATGAATCCAGATAGAGTACAGATGGGTATTTAGTGTCCTATTCATGTAAATTTTATGTTGATTTCAAGATTTTCAAACTAAAAAGTTGGGGGAAAAATTTAAAACATCCACTTTTCACTCTTCAAAAGTAGTGAGTTTTCTGTACGAGTCAAAGCTTTGCCTTGAGAATTCCATCTTTGTGCAATGTTAGAAGGAATAAAAGCCTGGATAATATAAAAAGCAACAGCTGCATCGATCAGCCCAGTGCCCTGGAAGGAAAGGAACATGCTGAGGGCACCTGCTCTCCACGGTGGAGACAGCCAGCCAGGGTCTGGCCCTGCCACTAGCTTGACACCATTAGAAAAATTCACTCTACGTCTCTTTAAAACGAGGACACTGCACTCAGTCGTGAAATTCAGTGTAAGTAACAAGTGTTTCTGACCATGTTCCAGGGGTCCAGGCTCGGAGCCAAGCAGGAAGTACAAGATGATGGGTGCTGGGATGGGCGTTGGGCCGGTGGTTAAGACGCCTGCATTCCATGTTCAAGTGCTGGATGCCCGACTCCAGCTTCCTGCTCATGCAGACCCGGGAGGCAGCACTGAGGGCCCAGGACTGGGTCCCTGCCATCATGTGAGAGATCTGGATGGAATTCCTTGCTCCCAGCTTCAGCAATGGCCCCATCCTGGCTGCTGCAGGCATTAAGGAGTGAGCTAGCAGATTGGAGTGCTTGCTTGCTCTCTCTCTGTTTCTCAAATAGATAAATAAGCATCTTAAACTCCATAGTTCTTTTTTTTTTTTTTTTTTTTTTTGATAGGCAGAGTGGACAGTGAGAGAGAGAGACAGAGAGAGAAAGGTCTTCCTTTGCCGTTGGTTCACCCTCCAATGGCCGCCGCTGCAGCCGGCGCACCGCGCTGATCCGATGGCAGGAGCCAGGATCCAGGTGCTTTCCTGGTCTCCCATGGGGTGCAGGGCCCAAGCACCTGGGCCATCCTCCACTGCACTCCAGGCCATAGCAGAGAGCTGGCCTGGAAGAGGGGCAACCAGGACAGAAGCCGGTGCCCCGACCGGGACTAGAACCCGGTGTGCCGGCGCCGCAAGGTGGAGGATTAGCCTACTGAGCCACGGCGCCGGCTCATAGTTCTTTTTTAAAGGTCACTTGTCCCTGCTGGGGGAGGCAGGCCTTCCACAGGGCTGTGCAGTGGGGTGAGTGTTGCCTGTGTGCTAACAGAGCTCACCTGCACCGAGGGAGACGGGGAGGCTCTCCTTCCTTCCCAGAAAGTCAAGGATATGTATTATGATCCTTAAAGCAACCACGGAACACAGAATGCAAAGAGGT